GATGCAAAGACAGTGTTAAATTGAGCGAAATGAGAAATGGCTAAAATGCATGATCTGTTTGGTATTTTGAAAAATAAAAAGTATAAATATGCCTTATATAGGTATGGTCCTACACTATATTATTAAAATATAGCATGATAGGTCCACTTTAAATTAAAAGCATCAGCTAAATGCTTCAAATCAATCATCACAGAGCTGCAGGGACCTGATTATTTACATAAAGAAAAACAAAAAATGTATCACTTGAACTGAAAAAACTGAAATGCTGATATTCTCGTTATCTTAAAAAGTATAAAATGTTCTGATTGACGTTGTTTCGCCAACTCTGGCACAAAGTATCATGTCCTTGTTTCTGCCGTGTTGTGTTTACTTTGATGTGGTCGAGGACGGCGGTGGCCACGTTGGTGTGCAGATCGATCAGCCGCTTCTTCTCCAGCAGCTCAGGCAGAGAGCTGCAGAGAAAACACACACAACATTTGAAAAGGGAAACTCTCTATCTGGTACACTGATCTGTACAGAAGATGATAAATACACGACTAGAAGACTTCCAATACAAAACAACTCTCTAACTTTCAGATGTTTTACCCAAAAACAACATCCCTGTACCCATGCTAAGGTTACATTTGTTTCAGCCTGTGTCTAAAAACAACAACAAGTGTGTGATGATGGAAATTAAAAACAAATGCGATGTTCCCTGGCTCTGAGATCATCCTCCTTCTGACATTGGAAATGAATTAGTCATGAGAAACAGAAGTTTCAACATTTCTCATCCTTCCTTTAATCTGAGAGCTTTGACCAAGAGATATTCTCAGGATCACTGGGATGTTATTGAGCAGATTGGTGTTTGGAGTTAGGGTTGAAGGGCACCGACCAGGAAGTCCATTTTCCAAAAGCTAATAGATGTAGTCGTTAAGTTTAGGCGAATTTGAGACCAAATCAGCAAAATACAGAGATTCTGATTGTAGGTGCTTTCCGTATCACGGTTCAACATACCTTTTAATTAATGCTGTCAAAATTATGGCGTTAACGGCGGTAATTAATTTTTTTGAATTAATTGCGTTAAAATATTTAACACATGTGCAGAATGGCCCGCCCCATACATCCCACCAGTGGCAGCGCTGGGGTAGGCTACAGCCATACCAAGAAATGGCTTAGCCCCACCATGAAAAATAATGTTAAAGTAAACAAAATAAAGTCCGCCGAATAAATTGCACAGACAGCAGTTAGTAAGATTGATTTCAGTAGCCACTTGTCTGGAAATACCGAAGACTAGAAACGGTTTTGAAAACTTTTGTCACGTAGTGATCGTCTTCTCAATAGAACATCTTTGATAATGTCTTCTGGCCAATCAGAATCAAGATAACGGCGTGGTGTTGTTGCAGGAAGTCCCGACGGAGAATACTTTTGCTGTAGTACATCTCTACATCGATACAACATTACGTGTTGATAGAAATCAACACGTAATGAAATAAGACCCCACGGTTTGATGATTGATAGGTGTTGGGCTGTCTATAATAAACATACATACATACTGTATGTTAAATGGATATACCCGCCTTCTTTCATTTATCTTTCCATTCTCACAACAATATACATAAAGAAATGGCATATTTTGGACATAGTTCGAATGGGGATTAATCATGATTAATTATTTTTTAAGCTGTGATTAATCTGATTAAAAATGTTAATCGTTTGACAGCCCTACTAAAAACATAACGTAACGTAACTAATATTTGAAAAGTAACAGTTACAATTACTGCATAATTATGAATTAGGAAAAGTACATTTTGCGTTTGTCTGTTTTAATTCTTCTTAATATTGTCCTTTTTCCACATTACA